ACACACACACACACACACACACACACACACACACACACACACAAAAAAAAAAAAAAACAGGGGTGGAGTGGGGAGAAGACATAACAATTGCAGTTCCTCGAAGTTGATACACAAGCATACAGAAAGGACATTGTTGGGAGGGAGGTTTCGGTAATGGGCCACAATAATCAACCACATTGTATATCGACAAAATAAAATAAAAATAAAAATAAATAACGTATGTTTCAAAGGATTATTCTTGCTGCTGTCTGTAGGGAGCTATGCCAGAGAGGCCACAGAAAACCAATGAGGAGATGACTACAAAGGTCCGAGAAGGAGTTGGCATAAACTCCACCTATGGGGGAGTGGTGGACGAGGTGAGAAGTGGTCAGTTCTCGAAAAAGCCAGCAGGACTTTCTGATGGACAGGGGGTAAGAAGCACCAAGGCCAACTCCCGAACTTCTGACCTGAGCAAACTGAGTAGCAGTGTGACCACTGAGATTGGGAGGATGGGGAAGGAGCAGGCTCAGGGGCTGAAAATTAAGAGTTCCGTTTGGGGCACACTAAATTTGAGATGTCTATTAGACCTCCAAGTGGAGGTATCTAATAAGCAGCTGACTATTGCAGGACTGGAGGGATCCGCTTATAGATGACGAAAAGATCACCCACAGAGGAGGTAAATAGAAAAGAAACCAATGAGGTCAGGGAGAAGGGGATGGGGGTCCAGCAAGAAAGACTGAGAATAGAGAGTGGGAAAAGGAAAAGAAAAGAATGGAGGGGGGGAGAAAAGAAAGCAATGGGGGCGAAAGTCTGACTGGAATGGTTTCAAGAGACAGCTGAAAACGGCAAGTAGACGCCAGTCTTTCACTTGTTATAAAGAGGATTAAAGAAACACAGCTGGAGGGGAACATGGCGCCCGGTTGGCTTGTTTTAAATGGGAAGACACTGTAGCGTGTATGGGGGCTGCTGGCGTGAACCGGCACTGAGGGAGACTGGAGGTGCAGAAGAGAGGGAGACTACTGATTCAGGGGCAAAACTAGCAGTGGAGAGAGGGGCGGTCCGGGGCAAAAGCGGACAAGTAAAGATGGAGCCCGCAGAGCGCTGAGGCCGGAGTTAGGGCCGCGCTCAGGAGCCGCAACTGACGGTATCACAGCCGGGATCCCGGGAGATCGGGGAGGCTGGAGGATCATTACCCCACCTGGGAAGGGGGCGGAGGCCTTCGGAAGGAAGTGACATTTAGGATGGACTCTGCGACCACCTCTGAGAGAGGGAAGAGGAGCGGCGCGAAGTACGAGACAGGCTGCAGACTGAGAGCGGGGTGCTGCTCCCGGTTGCGGCTCAACTTACATCTTGTCCTTCTGGTGCTGTCGCTTGCCCATGGCGGCGGCACCGGCGGCAGCAGCAAGCGCAGAAAAGCGACCCTAGGCAACTCAAACCCCGGAACCTCGGCCGCGTATTTGGCTACTTCCGGATCCTGCAGCCCCCCCCCCCCCCCCCC